GTGCTGAATATACACAACAAATTATTTTTCTTAATATTTAATATTGAATAGGCTTATGATAAGAAGTTATTTTTTTGAAACTAAATCTTCATTTGAGATAGCTTTACCTACTATTTTTTGCTGATTACAAAAACAATTATACTAAAAAGTTGCATAGAAAACATAACGAAAAATATCACAAACGATTCCTAAGAGTCTATTTCGGATAACTATACACTACTAAAAATATGAAGTTTTCATAGCATTTAATAGCGGTGGTCGGCAAATCAATGCTATAAATCGGTATTCACAGTAGTTTTAACTGATGCTAGAACAGTTTTTTTACAGCAGCTTTAACTTATGCTATAAACAGCCTTTTTACCTCCCATGTGCTCTAACCGAGCCATTCAACCCAAGCGCTTCGTATGCAATTCCTCCTCCCTTTCCCTGCATTCACTCACTGAAACCGCCATCACCTCTGAATCCCCGGTCACCGGCAAATCTGTCGTCTTAAATCCTTCGCGTGCATTCTCCTTCATCGACGGTGTAACCCTTTGCATGCAGCCAGCTGAATCTTTGTTTAAAGCTGTTGTGAGAAAATAACTTTTGTTAAAGCTGTTATAAAAAATAACTTTCTAGTACAAACTTTTTTTTAAAGCAATGAAAAATCAATATCAAAATAAAAATTATCATTGTGATCTAAAAAGTAAAGAGATAAGACACTTGTCCCAAATAGGAGAAATTATTCTGCGCAAAGATTGAACGTAGAAAGACGTCCGAAGATCAACCAGAATGCACCACGTCAGCATTACCTTACCACGATACCGAGCAAGAGGTGACATGGCGCATTCTGACTAATCTCTGGACGTTGATCAGCCTCCGCACAGAATAATTAATCCCCGAATAAACCATAAACTGAAGTTGTTAAAATGCTTTGCTTTTCAAAAACATTATGTTATAGATTTATAATATCACATCAATCTTCCAAAAAAGCTTAATTTTTCACACCAACAATTTTACAATCAATTTATATAAAAAAGCTACAACTACCACTTAAACAGATCTTTACTCTGCCAAATTTCTATAATAAAAAAAATAATTAAAACTAAAAAAATTAAATACTATTTTACTAATCTTCCATGTTAAGAAAATATAACACTAGTACTCAATAAATTTCAAAATATAATTTGATACGCATTAAGTTGTTTTCCAATTATCATAATGTGCATATTTTTAATAAAAATCATTAATGTTTGGCTGCTTTTCCTTAATCAAATATTACAAAAAAAAAATACTAAAAATAGAATACTTTCACACATAATATTTGTCAAGCTACACAAGTAGGTAATTATAATACCGTAATGAGCACTGTTGATCCTAATATTGAGTAAACGGTAAAACCTATTATATATATGATTGAAAAGTAAATAAAATAAAAAAATAAAAATTAAGAATTAAAAAAATTATATATAATATTATATTATAGTATTATATATATTATATATATATATATATTATATATATATATAGATTGAAAGTCTGATTTTAGGTGAAATGTCTATTTTTTCTATGAAAATCTCTTGTTTTAAGAAATAGAAGGGTTGGATAGTGAAATTTTTGTGTTGTTTTTCAATAAATGTTAGATGAATGATTAGATTTTATTGGGAATAATTTCTTAATGCTTTTGTAAAGTCATTTTTTAATAAAACAAATTTTTAGTTCAATAATTTTTTTTACTAAAATGCTGTTTTCATAAATCAATAAGAAAGTTGTCCTATAAACCTTAGTAGTATTTAAAGAGGCATAAACTAACTTAAAATAGATTAGATAGTAAAATATGTAAATAAAAAAAATAATATATATTATATATAATATATTATATATATATATATATATATATATTATATATATATGCATATATAGATTAGTAATATTGTAGATTAATAGTCATAGAATTATGAAAATAAATAAATAAAATTAATAGTTCAAATTCAAATGATAAAAAATATAGACATTTATAAAATAATTATAAATAATTCAGATAAGACTGATGAATTGATTTAATGAGGGCGATTAAGAAATTTATTGCAGTCCAAATGAATAGATGATAGTGCTCCCTCTCTTGTAATTTTTTTAAGTCTACTTGAATGAGATTGTACTCTCAATCATCTATTTAATTTTAGATATTTGAATTTAAATAAATTAAAAAAAGTTATTTTAAGAAAATAAAAAATGAAATCAATCTCAACATTCAAGTGATGCAAATGTTGAGATATGAACGCATATGAATCTTATCAATTAATTCCTGTACATATAGTAAATATCCCAATCAATAGTATTCATATACTCTCAATTACTAATTAATTAATGAATAATCAACTTATTTGCATATTAGTTTATTGAAATTAATATTACCAGATTTTTCATAATTAATTATAAAATTATTAATTTTAATCACCTAAAATTAGACAAAGTTATTTCTATCATAAATAGCAAAATAAAAAATCAAATCTAAATTGAGACATAATTATCAACCTTTTCACAGGTCATTAAAACTAAAGTTTAAAGAAAAATGCATCAATCTGATCCACATGATCCATCATCAACGGCCCTCCCACTCAACTAGAACGCATCAAAACACCGAGCACCATAGTAAACTGCTAAAAGCAGTTTTGAGGTGTTATGAGAAATTATTCTGTGCAGGGCCGGACAGAGAAAATCATCTGGATTTGCTACGCGTTAGCTACTCTTTTGCTGCACTTTTGTAAATACTCAGCAAAAAGACAGTAACATTGTAATTATGAATGCATATTTGCTGCCCTTTTGCTGAGTATTTACTAAAGCACATCAAATATCCTTCTAATTGAATATTTGCTGCCATTTCACTGCGCTTTTACAAATACTCAGTCAAATGACAGCAAAATTATAATTATGAATTTAAATTTATTGTCCTTATGCTAATTATTTATAAAAATATTGCAAGAAAAGCAGCTAATGCCGTCCAATCTCCACTCAGAATAATTTCTCCTTTGTTATACAAAATTTTGAAAATGGAGAAACATAACACTAGTAAAGAAGGGGTGGAGATGTTGGAGAACGTACCGTTTGAAGATAAGTAGAGCATTTTGAAAATATAACATCTGGAGAGGTATTTTTGTTACAGATCGAAGCTTTTGTTCTTCATGTTTTGAATTTCATGAAACTCTGTGAATACTTGTTCATAAAGTAGAGCATTTTGATAGCCAATTTGACAAAAAAAAATGAATTTTTAGCAGTATAGTTGTTGGATTCAAATATGGATAGAGCCTAAACGTGTAAAGGTAGAAAGAGAAGCTCTGAGATCTCCTTAGATTTTTGTGTTAGCAAGAACAGTGCTTATATGTTTGATCAAATGTCAAGCTCAACCTCTAACGCCTATTTTTATGTTTAGATTAAGGTTCGGTGCTACAGGAATGAATACAATTAAGAAATACAAAAAAGTTATAAAAAAAAGTAGCTTAAAAGAAGCAGGATATGTGGTGGAAAAATCTGGCAATTTGACATTTGCACAAGAGAACGAGGAATAGAGTTTATGTTGAAGGCGAATTCTATGAGATGAATTCCCTTTGGTGAGTTCTTCTGATTGATACAGGAGTAATCTTGGACGAGTAGGCAGGATCTTCAAGAGTTAAGATAAACTCACACACACATCACTTTTTTTTAATAGGGGTTGCGCGTACTCGAACCCCCCTACCACAAATTATGACGTCCACTCTACCACTTAGGCAGATGGTATACCAGCGCCCCTTCAACCTGCAATGAAGGTCGCTAGTCTGGGCCACATGTATACTTGATCACCCGTAAAGACTCCGTTCAGGTAAGTTACACACACAACTAAGACACGAATCTAAGATCTTTTGGTTGGGATGGTAGTCAAAACTCCCAACCAAAAGATCAAGATCAGATGCGTGAATCATCAGGAAGGTTGCTTAGGTGAGTGGGTGAGTTGAGTATGCTAAGCTCTATTCCATTGGCGATCTGGCAAGATGCGACTTTTAGGCAACTTATGATTTTGGGTGACTTCAGCTTAGGTGACTACTGAGTTGATTTGATTGATGACAAATCAATGACTTGCTGACTTGTTGTCTTGCTGAGTTTGATTTAGAAATTCATGATGACTAGCTTGATTAATCGGACCCAGGAAACTATTACCAAAATTTTAATGGTTTAAGGAGTTATATAAGCAATGTGTAGATTATGCAAAGTAAAATTAATGTGGAATTATAGTTAGAGCGAATGAAGTTTAGGAGACCTGCAATGAAATGTATTAAGTAATCCAATTTGTACCACTACTGTAACCAGCTTATGGAAGTGTTCTAAAGAAAGGATTACTTTTTGGTTACAAGAAGAAAAGAGACCTAAAATCTGAAACTGCAGCAGGAAAACAGTTCAAATCTAATAGACATATTTTAGAAAAGGATTGAATTGATCTCCTAATCTTTTTGAAGGATCTAACTAATCTATGACAGTAGAAGAAATAATATTTATCTGTAAAAATATTATTTGAGTGCATACACATCTTTATAATGACTTATTAATTAAAACATTAGCAGATAGAAATATATTCATTTAGTTCCACTCTAATAGATGCAATTACTACTAAAAGAAGCATAAAGTTATCACATATATCAAAGTGGCTACAATTTTACATGCTAAATTCTAATGTCCTTATTCATGTTTATAACAGTTCTCTGCAGTAACTCCTCTACAGCAAAATTACTACTTGGATTCAAGTTTTTGCACCAGCAAATTCCTTTGCACTTCATGAGACATCCTTGACTGCATATCCAAAAAGCAAAAACAGGTCCTTCTCATTATTTTCTGACCAAATCTATTGCATTCTAAGAATTTTCAGAGTTTTTTCACTGATCTCACATCTAGTTTTATCATGAAAATGGCGGCCATGCACACCAGTGATAAAGGTAATCATCTTTGTTCTAAACATAAGAGATTATTTCCAAATAGTTTGATGCCTGAATCAAATCTTTTGTTCTACTTCTGGTATGCTTAGTCAATATCTGTATTGGCATCTCAATTTCAACAGAGCCCATTCTTTAAGCAGTTCCAGCTGAAAATTGAAACCATAAACAAGTCTTTTTAGGTCTACCTCTATCTTTGTTAACATAGGTCAAATCTAATACATCTACTCTTCTAACATGGTCATCAGAAGGCCAGCATTTTACATGATCAAACCATCTAAGGCGATTCTCTCTAATATTATCTGTCACTGGAACTACTCCAACCTTTTTCCGGATATGCTTGTTTCGTATCCTGTCTCTAAGAGTAAGTCCACTCATCCACCTAAGCATCCTCATCTCAGCAACACTCAACTTAATATTATGCTTCTCTTTTAATGGCTAACATTCTGTGCAATAAAGCATTGTAGGTCTTACCACCATCTTATAAATTTTTCCCTTAAGATTGAGTGGTACATTTCTATTACACAACAAACTTAAAGCATTCCTCCACTTCAACCATCCAACTTGAGTTCTGCTAATAATATCCCTATCTATTTTATCATCAAGATATCTAAAATGAGTACACTTTTTCATAAATTGATCGATCAAAGTCACAAACCCCCCACTAGATCTATTACTACTAAAATTACACTACATGTATTCGGTTTTAGATCTACTCAAACGAAAACTTTTAAACTCTAATGTTGACCTCCATAATTCGAGTTTACCTTCAACTCCCTCTCTAGTCTTATCAACAAGAAGAATATCATCAACAAAAAGCATACACCAAGGTACATCCTCTTGCAAATGCATAGGCAGAGGGAGGGGGGGCATGCCCCGCACCCCCCCCCCTAAAAAAATAATGGATGCAGGATGAGTTAAATTAGAGTTCATAGGACAATTAATATGATGTGTAGTATGCTTTCATGTAGAGGAAAATTAGGATTTACTTAGATTCTTAGTTACAATTATGGATGGAAAATGTCTTTCTTGGCAATTAGCTTCCTTGGCATGACCTTAAACAAAAATGGAAAATAAACTAATTAATGACATAAACCAACTACTAAAAGAAAATATATAAACTAAAAATAAATTAATGATTGATGCAATGCTTCTATCAAAAACAAACACAAAGATTTCCTTTCGATACCTTGTGTATTAGTACATTAGACTTCAATTTACTCTTCCGCATGCGTAGCGGAGCCTGCTCTTTCCCTCGACCAAGACAGTCCGACGAAGATCACTCCAGCCTCTCTACTAGTTGGCTTACTTTCCCTCGACCTAGAGATTTTATGATTTTTTTTTTTTTTGCAATGAGATTTCAATGATCCCAAGTAAGAAGGATATTATATATTCTCTTATTTTTAGACTACTGGGATTAACATTTGTATTATCCGTTGCAACAGTAGGAGTCGAAAGAGCATTTTTTGCTATGAATATTATAAAAAATCAACTGCGAAATAGAATTAGAGATCAATGCTTAAATGATAAGTTATTTGCTTATATTGTGAAAGATATTTTAGATTGTATTGATAATGAAGTAATCATTCAAATTTTTCAGAATATGAAGAGTATACGTTATAAATTAAAGGTTATTTCTTATTTTATATTCAATATTCTACCTTTTTAAATAATAATTTGAAAAAAAAAATAAAACTGTCTATGTCGGTCCCAAGCACAGATATAAAAGTTGAGGGAAAATTTAAAAAAATTAATTTAGGTCGACCCTAAATATATTTTCTGGCTCCGCCACTATGCAAATGTCTAGTGAGAACATACATAACCAAAGCAAAAAGATAAGGGCTTAAGGCTTATCATTGATGTAATCCAACTAAAATAGGAAAATACTTGGTCAAACCACCTTGTTTTTTAACACAAGTAATAGCTCTTGCATACATATCCCTAATAACTAGAATATAAACATTATTAACCTCTTTCTTCTCTAGAACTCTCCATAGCACTTCTCTTGGAACCTTATCATATGCTTTCTCTAAATCAATAAATATCATATGTTTTTTCTTAAAATTAGTTTTATTTTCTTAATGTGTACGGTTGTTGACTGTTGTTGTATAGTATAATAATTGTATTAATGTATAATAAATGTTGTATATTATCTTAATATATTTAAAATTTATTAAATAATTAATTATTTATGAGTCGACTCGATAGCCAAGCCTCATCAAGCTCGCGCTCTTGATAAGTTCGGCTAGCGAGCTCATTAAAGAGTTGAGCTCGAGCCGGCTCACAATAAAAATTAAATCGCGAGCTCGAACAGACTCACTTACACCCCTACCTCGAACCAATTCACTTAACCGTTTAACTTCTAAAAGAAGTCATAAATCTCAAAATTAAATCAACTACTTAGCACTCTAATAAATGTAAACCCCAAACAACGATAAAAATTCAACCTAACTTTAACAATTTCAGTTTACTCAGGATTCCTGAGAGGATGCGACCCATGGTTGCTAATTAAATTTTTTAAGCACTACGATCAACGATCACTAGTGTTGGTAGACTAAAACCGAAGGTATACCTGAGACAATGGAACCATGAGATCTTGATCAAGTTTACCTCCATTTTTCTCTACAACTGAGACTAAAGATACCTAAAATTATTCATCCTTAATCTAGAGTTATCTCTTACACTTTAAGAGGGGTAATTAACTATGAGTGCTTGCACTCATGGGAAGTAAGAACCCAGATCTAACTAAACCCTAACACTACCCTCATAGAAAATCTGGTTAACTACAATCTTACTTAAAGAGAATGGAATCCCATGTCTACAAAGTGGGATTCACGCCGACGTGCCGTTTTTCTTGAGCCAACAACAACATAGCCAACAAATGCTTTTTCACTTTAGATTGATAAGGAGCAACCTCCATCTAAGTTCAAAATATCAATTTTAGACTATTATAATGACAAATTGATCATTACACAACTTCAAGTTCAATATCCTTCTATTAATGATCAATGATGCTATGAAGTATCATTTTCTCTTTACTAACTTTAGGCCGTAGCTGCCCTTGAGGCGATTCAAGAAAGCTTCCTCGAAGAAGCATCACTTTATATTCTGATCTCAAGAAATATTTTATCATTTAATTTGCGAGTCAACATAAATTACTAAAAAACTCAGTAGCCTGTAGCCCTACTCAATATGAGACAAGGGACATTTATTTATAGAATGAAATGCTTAATGTAAAAGACTATAGCTTGCTATCATAGGGTACGCATTTGCAAGGACTCCAAGAAGAACATTTCTACTACGCTCTGGGCATAAAACTCTCCATCAAACCTATCCGATTTGGATAAATTCAACTCTGAAAAATTTAGCATTTGATATTCATCGAACAAATTGAAATACAAGTTCTATGCTATTTATAATGTATAATTCCTAAGTCATCACAAATAGGATTGTCACCCCACTGAATTAGATATCTCTAATATCTATCATATGCAGTTGATACAATTTCATCATTTATGATAACACTAATAATAAAACTATATAGGATTATTTGGCAAAGGACTATGCATATATTCTTGAGGAGATGAAAATAGAGAAGATTTTAATGAGTTGATGTTCAAATAAGGTTAGATCCAACACATTGAATATTGGATTATGCACAAATTATTCTAAATTTCTAATTAAGATGAATAATCTTGTTGATAAGTGGTTGTCACACCCTAAAATTTAATGAAAGAATTAAATCATAAATCTAATTATCTTAACAATAAAATGACACATATCAGAGCCAACTAAACAATCTAAAGAAGTCGAAATAACTTAAAAAACATCCAAAATCCATTTCCAAAAGAATATATACAGATAATTCAGTTCAAGTTCATTTTATACCTTAAAAGAAAATAATTA